CAGATAACGCAAGTCAACCAGTGACACACACACTGAGGATGATACAGACAACCATAAATGAACTATGACGAGAGGAATGCAGAAGAGTGCTAGCATAAACTCAAGTCAGTTTAATACACTTAAAATAAGCTGCAGTGCTATGCTCTGGCAGATAACAACAGTTTGCAAGTACATACCTAGTTTCTCCACGAGTTTGAGCATTACTCCTCCGATATGGATTTCCCCAGTGACCCTCAAAGACACGTCCCTGTGGAGGTCAGTTACATGCATCTTCAGCTCCCACGTCCCGTCGGCGTAACAGCCATCGGGCATCCGGATCCCGTCCAGTGCCATCCTGCCAAAGAAGAGCCACGGTTAGGATGCGAAAATGGTCAAATTAAATTTCTGTCACACTTAAAGTGAAATAATCCAACTGAAGCTCAGGAAAGGGAAAGATGTGGAGCAAAGCCCATGCATGCAATTTCTTGAGAAAGAACCACACTATGTTCCACATTGTCTTGTCTGTAGATTCACTTGATTACTGTTCTAGAGCAAAGTTCATTCATTCATATTCCAATGCATTTACAGTATCTTACATCTTTAGTTGGGGTTTTCATAGATTGAGATTATCCGTGAAATATGTGATTAGTTCATCAAACAAGGCATTTCTTTAAGCAAGCCAATGGTCCAACATTTAATTTGATTGGGCACCATCTAAACATGATTTGCCATTGCATTAGTGCTTATAAATGAATGCCTGAATACTTTGAAACACAGACAGTGACAGTATGAATTAGAAGAGTCATCAGTGGTTTTACCCTGGTAAGCTATGCTACGTCGTCAGGGAACATGCTTGTTATTTTTTCTTATGAAGGGAATCTCCCATATACAGTAAAGGTCAATTGACTTCAATAGCTACCTTACTACTAAACCTGTAACAAATGTTGCATAATCTCTTTCTTTTCGTTGAAAGAGCTTGCCAAAGTCTGAAAAAGTAACTCTAATGTTGTCATAGTGATGTCATCGGGGACAAAGATTTTAACTACACATTGGAGGAGGTGTGGCTTACTTACAAAACTAAATTGTCTGCAAAACAGTGAATTTAGAATGATTTTTGCATCAAAATTTTCAATTTGGCAAATCTTCAAGAGGCTACACTGAATATGATTTTCCATGACATTTCCATTTAGTGTTATTTACTAATGCTCCAAATGATATTTTGATATAACATAAGAAAGGATTTCAAGAGATTCAACCAGACTTCATCCCAAGCACTGAAACATTAAATATTTATACATGGTATTTTAACAATATTTGCTGCTTACTCATTGCAATTTTGATTTCAGGACTTAAGCTAGAAGGTGTCAAAGTTCAAGATAGCCTACTTTCCCTGATTTAGCTCCCTGTTATGGGACTGCTTCAGTAGTTACAAATTTGATTAACCTCAATTTGGGATGATCATAATCAGAAAGACAAAAACAACAACCACTTGTCATCTGTGACTCTCCTCGTGCTCCCCGCTTGGAAAAAGTCGCGCCCTGTCTGTCGCGTGAGCTCTCTGCCAAAAAGTTACATTACAGTCAAATGTGTCATTTCTTTGATCTTAGGTTGTCCAATAGCCGACTTCGAGTGGCCTGGCGATCAAAACAGCCGTCTAATCGATAAACACGGCAGAACAAAGGCAATAGGCCCGCAGGTACAAGTTCGACAAGGACCTCTGAAGGCTTTTATCTGCGCTAAAGTGCCACTTCACCTGTTCAAAATAACGGTAAAGGCACTCTTACAAATAGACAGAGGGGTTAATTATGTAAGACGGGTCTGTTCACCAGCTCCCCGGCTGCATGCATACTCGTTTAGTCGGTCATTGAAGGAGTAAGTTCACTAAAAAGTGTTACCAAAGGCAAGAAAACCGCTTAAATCAGCAAAATGTTACTTAAAAGGAGCTTTGGTTAACGCCACAGGGGCGGCACAACAAACAAAAAACCCATTTTCATATTTCATAGCGGCGAACGAGCCAAGCTTTGAGGACGAACATTAAAATGTGTATACTCACCTTCACAAAGACGAAAAAAAACCCACTAAAACAGTCTACTACACGGTTCAGAACAGGTTCCCCCTCTTTAAATCATGTATGGAGAGTTTTTCTGACGACAAAAACAGAAAGAAATCCCACAAGAACTCGCTCAAGAAGTGAAGTATCCCCAACAGTTTTCCTGCAGGCTTCGGCTTAATGGAGTCCAGCCGTCCCTCCTCCTCCCTCCCTCTTTCCAGCGGATCACGTCACTGCTCCAATCCCACTTTTCCTTTCATACTGGGAGCTTCGCTGGTCGCCTACTGGTCCCCCCCTGTCACCTCGCACATACACATTTATAATACACTCAAAAACACTTTTACAGGACTAGTGTATTTTTAGGTTAATTATTTATTTCAAGCCCAACAAAATAATTTAATACAAACACAAGTGACGCTTTATCATTGTTGAACTAGTATTTTTATATTTTTATATTTTATTTCAAGCTTTAACACATTTAAAAAAAACAGTAACGAACAATCTGACAATCTCATAAATGTTTCACATGTTTCCTCCCACGAACAAAAGAAAAGAAAAGAAAAGAAACAGCTTACCATGTGATTTTTATCTGTTCAGTTTTGTGTTTCTGTTCCTTATTACTCCACTTTCTGCAAAAAATAAAATAAATTAAACCTTACATTAATTCTTACTCTTGAGAGAAACTGCTGAATTAAGTTGCAGAGCAATAAAATATTAAAAGTCTTCAAAAAGAAAATATTCAAGTGAATTTTTAGGTTTTTATCATCTATATTAATTAAACACTAAATAACTAAATACAATCCCCGTTAGCAATAGAGCATAAAAGTGTGACCAATAAAGCAGGTTTTAGTGTGTTTGTTTTCAGGTTTTTTCTACCTTTCATGGTGCAAAATTCAACAGTTTGTGTCAGGAGAAATGGAGGTGCAGTTAAGATCTCAAGCTGCCTTTTATGGTTATAATGCGGCTGAGCCTTGCAGCAGCATCCAGGGACCCATGGGTCTTTATAACTCCAGGAGTATGAGCACAAAATAACAGAGCTTTTTGTTGTTTTTCACTTCAAAATCTCCATTTTAACAATTCATTTTGACTGATAACACCCCTTATAAGACTGTGACATGTCAGAATTAGCCAGTGTATTCAAATATCTGCTGTCATACCTGACACATCACATATATTTAAGGATCATTTTATTGTGATGATGTAGTTGGGCTATTTGGAGGGATGTCAAAGTTGAAATACTCTTTGAGGTAATAAAATGATGAAATCTGTTATAATTCATGATTTTATCTGTAATAAAATCTCAGTCTGGAGCGCAGAAAGTATGCACAGCTGAACACAGGTACTAAAAGTGCAGTGTTCACCTTTCAGATGTATTTTTATGGACTAAAAACACAATTTCTCAGCCAGATGGGTTTGAAAGGATAGTACCTGTATTTCAAAACCGCAGTTGAGTGCCAAAAGTAAATCAATTTATGAAACTCATGAAGAAAACTCACATTTACTTCCTCTTTAGCAAACAAAGCTCTCACATGACACATTGAACTGCATGAGAAACTGAATGAATTACTGACACCCAAAGTCTATAGATTCTAAAACTGTTTGCACAACCTTCCCAATATAGCTCTGTAACTATTATTGTGCAGGTAAATCATCACATTTTAAATGCTACATTTTGCACATTAAAAAATGTTGCCATCAGTATCTAATATGACAGCACAGATTTAAAGTTTGTGTGTGAAAGTCAGCTTTATTGCGACACATAGATACCTACAACAATATCCTCAGCAGGTTGTAGCTCACGTCTCCTCAGCTGCAGGTGAGTTATAGTATTTTGTATATGAAATTCAATCAAATTTCATACAACTGACAAGAATAGAGAAAATCTGCTCTTCTCCTTTTCTTTCCAAAGCAGCTGCACAATACACACTCTCCACTAAAGACCCATGAATCTTCAGGGTTTCTGGCTAACTCAGCTCCAATCCTCCAGCTCAGGAATCTGGACCTTCAGACCCTCCAGTATGCATCAAAGGGATTTATAAACTCTCCCTGCAGCTCTGTCCCCCCCCCCACCACCTCCTCCTCCTTCGTCAGTGTCTGGCACTCGAACCTGTTGCCTTTTATAGGCTGTGTTTTAATTGCAGAGTAAACATTGGAGTCGGTCAGATGCAGAGCAGGAGAGGCAGATAGTGAACTGGCTGACTGGTGATGATGTGGATGGAGAGGGAGGAGGAGGAGGAGGAGGAGGAGGGGAGGGTTTCAAGAAGTTTACATTGTGTGCATGAGCCATCTTCAAAATTAATCCAGTTTTTTTAAAATGAAAGCCATTTGGTCTCTGCAACCAAAGCCAGTCTATATAGATGATTCTAATTTAAAACAATAATTTAAAAAAAAGGTCACACAATGAAAAGAGAGTGTTAACAACTGTCAAAATAGCTCATTGAGTTTAGGGCAATAAACAGAAGCAGGAAAGCAGAAAGGTCACAGGACAACAGATGGTCAATGGGGGTCTTTGTTCAGGCATTACCTATAGATGACTGACCTCTCCTGGCCAAACGCAGTACAGCAGACCCAAATGCATTATTTAAGAGAGTCACCTCTGATCCAACCGCTCCCATCTGTGGCTCTATGCCTCTGCAGATGCTGCTCCACAGCATTAAAGCCTGAGTAACTCACGTGGAAGCCATGCCTGCTTGTGGATTACAATGTGGCCTATTCATGATCCATAAATCAGCTTTGTTATTCACATCAGGGGGGCTTGCTGCCGTGGAAAGAATCTCCGTTTCAGATGAACAAACCGCTTCATTGTCCAACAAAATCAGTCTGGAAATGAGCAATGAGACCATCTTCCTCTGGAAATATCAACCTCCTTTATTCTCCTACGCAGCAGCAGGAGCGAGAAACAGAATCCAAGTTCAATAATTTTTTTTCCCTGCCATCATCTGTGGGAAGTGAGAGATTCAAGAAGCAGTCATTGTGTCCAAAAAAGAAAATGCTTTAATAAAAGGAAATAAATACAGTGCTTTGGATGGCAGTTAGAATCCATTACAGGCATGGGTTATTGCACAGCTCTAAGGACAGACAAAAACACTTTTTCAGACATCCATTCGAAGTTAGAGTAACAGTGGTACCTGACACAAATGTCACGTCTCGTTCATCACATCCCAGGTTAATTTCAACGCTTTCCCCCCTCTCTTTCCCACCAAGTGACCGTTAACGTGGCTGCAGGAACTCTCTTATAAACCGAGAAACATTTTTAAAGTCTGACGAAAAACATCCAGATTCTTCAACTCAATGGCTTCAAACTGGTGTCAACAATGGTGTTGAATCTACAAAATATTGACCAGTAGATATTTCCCTGATGATTGTGGTGCCTTTAACAAGAAAAAAATATATACTGTCATCATTCAAAAATGCTGTGCATTAAATGCTCATTAAGTACAATGTAATTTTTAAAGTCCTCCAGTCCAGTTGCTAGTTTTTCCTTGATAGCAGGCAGAGTGGATACCGTTGTAAATCTGTGCTTGAATCAAGAATATTTTGGAGAAACAGTGACGACCACAGACACTGGCAGAGGAGTCCATCGACACTCTTCATTACATATTTGCTGCGTCTGAGCCCCCACTGAGTGATTCCAAATGCAGAGGCAACAATTGAACTTTGTGTTTGCATTACATGTCTAAGATCTCCCAAGGTAACGTGCATGCTCGCTGCCAGAGTTGCGTTAAGAAAATGTAACAGGCTCAGGAAATTAATTAGAAAAAATAGAAATGGGATGTTGATTTCGTAAATTCTGTGCAATTCATAGCTGATTATACCATGAAATAAAATATCATTCATATCCCTCTCCCTTATTTTTTTCCATGCTTCTAATTTATCTCACCTAGCCACCTGGCTTGTCATCTGAAAGGCAGCCAGGTTTCAGTCAGTAAGCCTTTGCATAAAAAAACACACATTAATGCCAGTATGTATGTATGTGTTGTCTTTAAGTGGTGGACCAGTCAGCAACAGCTTTTGATTGTGTGCAACAGCAAAGCGTCTGCAAATGAAAACAAGCGCTTTGCTAACATTGTAACAAGCAGGACACAAAGACTCTGACAGTAATCAAGCCTGTCATATATAACTAACCCTGTAAACATTAGATCTGAGGGTTCTTCCATTACTTCATCCATGGCAAATGTCCTCTGAATGATTTAAATAGAAACCCATAAACAATCACGAGTGGTTTTCTCCTTAATAAAGAACACAAAGCATTTTCTTAAGATGTTTGTTGGCACTCTCTGCGATGTCTTCTTGTTTCATTAACTATTTTAAAATGACGCCATGCAACAGGACTACGTTTTTGTAACTTCTGCATACTTAGAACTGGGTGTGTCTCTAAAAAAAGGACCACATCTGACAGGCATATGATTCATCACAACAGGAGTCATTTTTCTTTTTATAGCTGCTGAGGACAAACCGAAGGCAACAGTCATGATACGCAGCAGAAGTCTCCTTTTTAGACAACAAAAATCACAATTTGCCGTCTCCAGTTATCCAATCCACATTTCCAGTTAAGTTGTAAGTTGTGTCGGTTAGGTGTTGACACATGCTTAGTGGCTGGAAAATTATTTTTTTCAACACTTGTGAAAAAAAAAAAAAGAAGACAAAATGACATATCCAAATGGGAAAAATGTTGATTGGTCACAAAAAAAGGCAAAGAAGATAGTTCATTTCATGTGCAATGTATCACAAAAGCCTCCAAATAAAAAAATCAAGCTACTTTCATCAAGTTATTTTTTAGTCCGATTTAGCATGAGGAATGCTAAGGCCAAGCAGCTAACAAGCAAGAGACATAAATGTTATTTGGCTGCAAGTTTGACTCGCCCATTCCCTAATGTGAGATCTGGGTTTTATTCAAGAGCCTAAAAGATTTTTTCTAGGAAAAATATTTCTTTTGTTATTTTTTTTAAGACAAAATACATCTTCTTGACTGATTTCATCTACATATTAAAATAAAGATATAGCTCAGAAATAAATTCTCCCCGTCAGTCATCCTCAGTGTAGAAGCATGGAAACGAGTCTGATTGAATGGATTACTTTTATGAAACCTCTCAACTGATGACATCGTTAAGAGACTTTAAAGCCAAACCGCGTTTAAGAAAGTTAATATAAACGTCACATCTGACGTGTTCTTAAACCCCGGGAGGGTCTCACTAATGATCCACTGGGATGTTCAGCTTAATTGTTTTGTTAGTAGAAGACATTTTGTCTCTGGTGCAGTTAAGATGGAGAAATCTAAACTCAAGAGAAAATGATTTTAAGTTGATTATGCAGGATATAAAAGTGGAGCTTTGCTCGTGATTTAAAGGGTGTGGATCTATGTTGAGTGTCAAACTATAATATAAAGGAGGTGAATTTATACAATATATAACAAATAAAAGAGGTGATTTTTTCTTCTTCATACTTCGACTATTAAAGGGATAATGCCCTAAAACTGTTTGGAAAGCTAAACAGAAAGAATCGGTACGAGTTTGGCTTACATTTTTTAAAGGCATTGCAGTTTGTTTGTTAGCAACTTTTTCAGATGGAATAACGAAACGTTTGATGTAAAGATAAAAGTATTTTTCTGACAAATATATATCTCTCTCCCTCATATATATATATATATAAATAAAAAAAAAGAGTTTAAAAGCACAGACACAGGACAGAAAGCCGTGGTTACAGAGGGTCATGGGAGTATCAGCAGGCTCCAGACTGGATCTACAGGAGGGGGAGGCTTGATTGTAACGACAAGAACTGTATGGGAACTTCATCAACAGGCTACAGCTGTTTAAGGTCAAAACTCGGGAATGAAATTAGACCCTGGGTGCATCAAACTTATAAATCTCCTACTCCAGGAACATATGTATCCTGTGGTCTGGCAAAAGGGTGCACCTCCTTAGGGGTTCTTGGTCCAACACGATCACCCTTAGGGTGCACAATTGTGTCCTAACGACAAACACACACACACACAAAAAAAAAAACAGAAGAATGCACGTCTTGGAATGAGGTCGGTTAGTAATGATTCCCAAGTTTTCAAGGAGCTGAATTACAGGGAGATGTAGGAAAAAAATATAGATGATGACTTGACTTTAGCAGTTTGTGTGCAAGTTAATTAAAGAGGTTTATTTTTGTGTCTTTCGTGACCCCGCCCCTTTAGGAGTCATAAGACACCTTTCAAGTGTTTACGTGTTGTCATGAATGTGCTGCCTCAGTCGGGATCTGGAGCATCCTCTTCTGGGTCAGAGGGATTCATCTTCTGCTTGTATATGAAGGTCAACAAGAAGAGTGCGATGTCGTGTGAGCACCAGTAGCCCGTGTGTGACGTCACTGCTGACCAATAGCGACTCTCCACCAGACCTTCTCGCAGCTCAAAGTCGATCCGTCGCTCCAGCTCCACTGGAAGACAGAAAACGAGGTATTTCAACATCCTGCCAATGAAACAACGCAATTGAGACTCTCTCTTTAACATTGTCAGAGGTGAAGGGAACTAACATGATGTGTCAGCTGTGGGTGAGGTTGGCCGTGTCAGAGTGGAGAGGCCATACGCCGACTGGCTTTCTGTTCGCTTCTGCTCCTCTTCCTCAGGGTTTGCAATTCCTTCAAGGCCTAAAGACACGGAGGGCTGGCTGTTGGATCGGGAGAAACGGGAGAAGAGGATGCCTCCGATGCCTTTCCCTATGCTTGCCGCTCCTACATCAAGTGAAAAAAAAAAAAACTTCAGGAAGGATGTGGTGCTTAACAAGTCAAAAAAGAATAGTCTGAATGCTTTGCTTTATGTTTTGATTTAAATATTTCAAAGAGAAGAATAGACAGTGTATGAGCCCATTTCCAAACTCTCCACATGGTGGCACTGTTGTCATAGTTCTTCAGTCCATGAGAGCATCTTGCATTACTTAAAAATATCGAACCTCACAGGAGAGAGGGCCTTTCACCTACAGACTAAGTGCCATTTCCAGAGTGAAATTTTAATTAGCTCAGTTGTCTCTCTGAGCTTCTCTTTGCTGTCTGAACTCTTTGTATTTCCCTAAGTAGGCTTTAAAAGAAAACGTAAAAGACTGCCCGTTTAAAGCCAAATAACTCACCTCTCTAAAGAAGTCTTACTCACACATTTGTTGAAAGTTAACATTATGATCCAATAATAAATGTATTAAAACAGTTTTAGTCGCAATATCTTGAGGAACTGTTCCTCAAAATGAGAGTAGATTTAAAACCTTTTACAAAAATTTAAAAAATTATTTGAGCCACGTAGATGCAAGCTTATCGAATGTATTTTCAAAAAGGAACAGCAGTGTCTCACCCAGTATGCTGGCCTTGCCCAGGTTTGTGATGGACTCTCCATAGTGCCTGCGTGCCAAGACTGGAGAAGTGCTCGGGCTGGGGATGCTCTCAGTGTCAGATGTGGGGTCTTTGACTGGGTTCAAGAAGGTCGGCCGGACCTCTTCATAGGATGTTGGGTTAGTGGCACTAAACCTAAAGGAGAAAATAAACCACAGATATTTAGAACAAAGAAACCCTAAAACATTGTGTACCATCAGAGGGTAAGCTCAAATGTTATTAGAATTACGTTCTTACCAGTGTATCTGAACAGGAGCAATATTGCTGTAGTGTTTAAGGATGAGGGGCTCCAGTCTGTAGGCCTGCACACAGTGATATATACAGTTAGCTTACAGTACAAACACATTACAAATGAAGTTTTTAAGTGCTGTCTGCACATTATTAATTCAAACATCTGGCTAGTTGCTATTAGCAGTGCACAATGGAAAAAGGAAAGTCCAGAAAAACAGCAGAAACCTACTTATATCACACCCTAAATGTGTGTGGTCTGATTCAAAAAGAGTTAAGAAAACAATACAAAAAGTCTTCAACTGTTGTCATAACCCTGAGTAAGAGGGAGAGAGAGCATTTGTATGGGCCGGGGCAAATGAGGTAGACTGACCACAGGATCTGTAGGATGGAAGACATTGAAGAGCCTGCTGCAGATGGAGGTGGGCAGGATGTGGTCCTGGTGGCAGCTGGAACCGGGTCGGATCCCCCTCAGGGCCAAGAACACCGCCAGAGGAGAACCCATGCAGAAAAAGTTTTCCACCTGAGAGACACGAGGTGCAAAGATGCTAAAATGTCCCACAGGGTGTCTTTGGTTTTGACAAAGTTAGCACATCTTCAAAGCTAGAGGCAGCAATGCAACAGAAGCCAATATGTTTTTCTGTTTTATCTTTTTGATTACAAAGTACAAATTACTTTGGTAAACATTTACATGAGCAACGATACAAGATTTAGTGTTTTGGCGGTAATTGAAGTTGTTCAGTCTTTTTAGCACAATTTCTAACTTAAACAATTTCTTATCTTTATATTGTGATTGTACCCATCATAGATTGTAAATAAATATGGACGACACGTCTCCATTTCCTTTAGTTGTACAAAATTGAAGCCAAAATACACCATGAAGGGCACTGACATATAATACCAGTGATATCATTTCATTTGGAGCCAAGACATGTGCAGAAAGGATCTGGCTGGTGGAGCTGTGGAATTTAAGCCCCGCCTCTTCCTCCAACAAAGCTTACTGATAAAAACAGCAAAGATCCCTGAAGTCGGTACAGTCCACACAGCATAGATTCTTGTGTCAATTTGAAGCAGACACTCACAGATAGTTTAATGACTCTTGTGTTCATGTTTCCTCTCACTGTTCTTTCTCTACTCTAATGCTAATCTGGTAAAAAGAAACACTGCATTTGTCAACAGAGCTTTCAATCAAGACATTACATCCGATCTTTTTCAAATCAAAAAACACATTTTAAGTAAAACTGTCAAGAAGTGATTACTGTAATATATATATATATATGTATATATATATAAGCATGATAACAACTAACTATGAAGACAAAAAAAATTGTATATTTTAAATTTTAAAGTTTGCCTCATATTCTATCTGTCCACATGGAGGAGATGTGGTTTAATTACCTATACAGTAGCCAGTCAGTAGGGGCAGCTCTAAATCTTTTGGATTCACTTCTCTCTCATTCTCTCTCTTGTGCTGTCTATTCTTTATACAGTTTATGGTACACATACAGTAAAGTTCTCATAAGATTGTATAATACCTTAAATCTGAGGGCTGGTGGTGCTGACGGTTTAGAGGCCTCAAGTGTTTGGAGCTGTGTTTCCAGTTCTCTTAACCTGTTAGAAGCAGGGAAAAAATCAGCGTCAATTAACTAGAGAGTATGAAAAGCTTCTCTGATGCTTTCAAATCAGGCCTATCACACTCATTTTTAAAATCACCTTACTGAATTATGAAACATTTAGTTACATAGACATGGAAAATATCAGCCTTCAAGTCAGCAACATAAACATCTCTTCCAGCTGCTTCTTATTAAGCAAATGTAATCTTGCACACACTAAATGATACTAAATACACAGGGATCTGTTGGGCGAGGCAGAGGAGATATTAAAAGCCTCTTCCCCTCCCTTTGTATACCCAGCTGCCTCACAAAAAAACAAAAAGCAAACACAACTTGCCACCTGACAATGGAGTTAATGAGCAGCTTGCAGCACACACACTGTATAAAGTGTGCCAAAAAGAAAGAAAGAAAGGCTTGGTGGTTTAGGGTTCTAAACATTCAGCCTGTTTCTTTTTTGTATTCTGCTGCTACATGAACCCATATTCCCTACCACATAAAAAAAAATACTAAAAGAAATACAGTTAATCAGAAGTCATCTATGGAGAATTCTCACAGCTATAAATGAGGCCTTGCAAGGAGTCACAAAATATCTACCGGTACGTAGGCAATATACCTATTCCTTGTGTGCCGTAGCTGCTCTAGAAGATGCCGCTCCTCGTAGGACATCCAACGCAGGTCGAGCTCCTCCTCCACAGCGTGATGCTCCTGCAGACAGAAGCGCACAGGATCCCATCCCGTCATGATGTCATAGGTGATGACGCAGCCGAGGGAGTGCGACACGATGGACACTTTACCACCTTGCTCCTCAAACTCAGGGTTCCGGGAGCAGAAAAGTGAGTACAGTCTGTTAAGCTCCTGTGTTAGGCCCTTGGTAATCTGGAGGGAAAAAAGAGTTTAAGGGAAGTTAAAAGGATTCACAAAGAGTTTCTGTTTCTGGTTTATAGAAATGTGGGACTCTCACCTCATCCCGGTAAAGTGGACTGTTGTAGTACATGATGTCCATGGCACTGCTGTTAAGAAGATCCCTCAGTCCTCTCACTTTGTCTGGTGTTATTGAGTCTACCGTATCTACAAAAACAAAGCACCAATACCACAGAAATAAAAACAAATTCAATTACACATGAAAGTGCCTGTATTTATAAAATCAGTTTCCACTCAGTCAAGTATAAAATATAATCTTACCCCCATCAGTCATATTCTACATTTACAAAGTTGGTAAATTTGAGGTTTTGATGACTATGAGGAAGACGAACTGTGTCGAAACATTAGTCCGTTGCATTTTTATTAAAATCTGAATTAAAATTAAAGTGATTTGTGTGCTCCGGTATTTTCTTTGGATCCTGTCTTGAAGAAGGTGTCCATTCTTTATCTATTTTTTGGTAGAGTTCTGATTTGAACAACACTGTTGAGTATTATTAATGTGTTTATAATTGTGAATGAAGCTTGCTATACTGAGGCTGAGTTATAGCTCAGGGCTTACTCAAGAAAATAAGATAATTATAAACAGACAATTCAAATTATTTGTAGTACTAGTACTGAGTAAACACAACATTTTATCAAATATGTTCTGATCTGATCTCAATATGCTCCTCCATCAATATTCAGGAAATGAAGATAGTTAGGACATGTGCAGGTCATGAGGTTTCCGTTACCTGCTGTCCACACACTCACAGTTCTGTTGGGCATGACTGCTGTAATGCTTTATTGAGAACTACACACAAGAAATAAACAGACCTAGTACATAATTAACTAAATAAATCTAAAGCGCCCACACTTAAGCAAACACAAAGACAAATAGTAGTAAACCCTAAAAATGGCAGACTGACCTCCGTCCAGTGCAAGTTTGGAGCGCCACTCGACAGGCAGGAACTCCACGTGCTCTTCGTTGTGCTCTGAAAAGTGCTTCTCCTCCATCTTCCTCACACCCTCCCTCAGCCTGGATCAACACAAAGCAAATGGACCATAGAGCATATGAGGATAATGCTGCAACACAGCTCTGTTTCTTTAAGAGTATATTGGGTAAATGTCGGCCAGAACTTTCAGATATTATTTCAACATCCCATAGTTGGGCAGCAGTCTATTATATTAAATGTTTGCTAAACATCCTTTATGTTCAGTTGGTCCTGGGGCAGACTGACTTAAGAGTCTGTGTTTGCATTCGTTCTCTGGAAGACCTTAATGACTGTCTGGAAAAAAAAAGGAAAGGCGCCTATTTTGCTGCTCAATGATGCAGCAGCTTCACTCACGCAGCACTCACGCAGCACTCACACACACACACACACACACACACACACATGCAAAGGCTGCAATTCTACTGGTGGTATATGGGGCAGCATTAGCTCACAGGATATACTTAATACACAAAGAGAAAGTCGGGGGGGGAGAAGGGTGTTGACTTGGGTTAATGGATGGCTGAGAGAGGCTTTTAGGACGCTGGTTTGATAGTGGGTGGGGAACCTAAACCTAATGCAGGTTTTGACAGGACTGTAAGAAGTCTTGGGCGTCTGCAGGAGAGCCTAAATGCTCACAAGATGGTGCCAAGCATTTAGGAGCTTTCTGTGCTGCACCCACAATGGTTTAGCAGAGACAGGTCTTGTTGCCAAACTTCAAATGCCCTAAGACCCTGCATTTCTTTTACATCTTTTGATGACACGTATAAAATGCACAGAGCTGAAAAACTAATTCACGTTCTAAAAACAACCCTAAAAAAAACAATGAACAGGCTAGACATGTCAGGTTGATCTTTTCTTCCTGGCTAAGAAAAGCATACATGCTGTAATCCAGAGGGAGCTGGGAGTGAAGCTTAAGGTGCTCTGCAGCCTGACATGGTCTACTTTACCTGCTTAGCTGAACTAAGCTGCCGGCATAGCCTCACGCTAACTATGTGACACAGAGACACACACGGCCCCGGTTCAGTGCTTCCTGTAATGGTCTTGGTCCAGGGCCAGTGCGTAAAGAAATGTCATTTACGGTCAGATAATGTCGTTGCACAGCCCATCACATGAACAGTGAACACACAGAAAGGGAAGGGACTGAACTAAGCTCAGGTGATAATTCAAATTGTATCCACTTCACAGGTGTCTGAACAACACTGTAAGGATTTGCTTTATCATGTTTTAAAAGGCGGATGTAACTGTAATACCCTGGAACTGCTGCTTCCCAAGACAAACGGGGACGGTAATAAATAGCCAGTGGATTTGTTTTGATTTGATTCTCAAAGGCTGTGAGGTACTAAAAAAATGCATCAACAGCAGTTGCATAAATTGGGAGGTAATAAAATGATGTTTGTGCTGCTTGGAACATCTAAAATGTAGATTTTGATTTTTTTTGGCATATGGATCATCACAACAGATGATGTTGTAATGGCTTGTTTTGGCCAAGATTGCTTTTAATTGGATAAGAGTGCTAAAGAGAGCCAGGGAATACAAGGAGAAAAGAGAGGAGATGACATCGACAAAGGGTCTGGGATGGGATTGATCCTTGTTGGCTGCAGTTTAAGTTTTAACTCAAAGATAACATCAGTTAAAGTTGATATCTTTTTATCTAGATTTTTACGCAAAATTAGGATGTAAACAGGTTTTGTATTTCCCTGGAATGTTTTTCTTAGCTGGTTTGGACTCATATGGCACAGTTTTTGTATTTTCCCATGCAGCTAAGCCTTAGTAAACGCTCCCTTGTGTTTACTCAGGTTTCGGTGCATTCTGCTCCCTTGGCTTACTGCAGGCAATTTCATACACAAAGTAGAAGAACAGCAGGAGAAGACAAAGAGTGGGAAAATGTGGAGGGGAGGTGAACAGGTGCTGTGTTATCAAGGGAAACGCTTGAAATAACTTCAACTGTTGTAATTACGGGTTGCTTAAGGTAAATACAGAGAAAGAATAACAGTGATTGCTGATTTAGTTTAAGTAATATGCCATTTGTCCTGGTCCTGACCAAGAAATATCTGGAATTAACTAACCTATGGTTGTTTTCTCTAAAATTGGTTGTTCGTAAATAGAACCTGTGAGTTTGTGGTGTGCCGTTGAAGTCATTAGTCATATCGTTACTCTCCAAACACCATAGGAACAAAACTGTTAAATCTATCATTATTTGCCCTCATGTGTGGGGTCCCTCACAACGTTAACATCAGTCCAAATTTTGAAAACCTTTATTGCTGGCCAGGCTTAAGCCCTTTTAAAAAGATCTAAAAAATCTGTGCTGGTTTCATACTACATGAAATCTGCCAGATTACATCCTGACACATAGACAAGTTGTATCGCACAAGTCGTCAAACAACCTATCTGAATGGTTTGCATTCTCTTGAGATGATGTCTGTCATTCCTCTTGAAACAGTCATGGGATGACATCATGACTCTATAATAGCTTCATCTGACACATTAAGCACCTTAACAGAGAAGTAGGATCTAGTCTGAACCCAGCATCACTGGCATAAAAAAAAACAACAACAACATACAAGCAAGTGACTCACATTCCAGTGTTTTTAATTATGCGACCCTGGTCCATCTTCTGTCCTATCCCATGAACCACAAAGACAATGTGCGTAGTCTGAGGGGGTCTGTCCTCAGGCGAGGCCTCCTCAACAAAACCTCGATGGAGCCGCGTTCCACTGCTGGAGGCTGCAAGAAACAGAAAACATGGTTGGACGCTTGTGCCTAGCCGTTTGGTTCCCTTTCCGTTTGAAAGAAAGGGACATTTTTACACCTTGCACTATGTTCTTTGTACTGTATTGCCAAATATACACACGGCCACTGAGTTCACCTGAGGGCTATAAATATCTAATTGATGGTATTTAAGTACATGCTGTTCTGAGTCCAAAGGGGCCAGTAGGTGAGACACAAAGCCCATGACTAAGACTCTTTGGCAACACTTGTATTGTGCCTGGAGGGCTAAGTGCACAAGACTATAGATTATATATAGGGACACACAGTCATGTGCAGTGCAGCCAGCTGATAGCAGCCTGATAGCAACTCCTCTCATAATCTTTGAGCAAGAGATTAAAAGCTACCGAAGTTATATGAGACTAAATTAGATTACAACAATTCAATAAATCAGACATGCGGGTCAGGGGGCTAAAGAGCAAATGCCATATTTTTGGTTACACTTGGGCCCTTTAATCAAGCCTAGTCCCTGAAAATAGCACATGGACATTGCGTGATTTTCTAAGATAATCCAATTTTAAAAAAAATGGCGGCACACTGTGAATGCAGCTGTATGTAACAGGTGCCTTAGATGTGCAGGAACTGGGCAAAGGTTACTTACAGCAGCTCTAACTAGGTCTCATTGTCAGCCAGTTCACTTTGGTATAGCCTGAAATATCTTAACTGGTCGATGTATTAATAAATGGAATGGCAGTGACATTTTGCAATACAGACCTTTTGAAAAGCCCAGTTTCTGTGTGACTGTGCGTGCTATTTTGGATGTGGTGGCGTCGCTGTAGAGGTACACCTCATCCACGCTGTGCCAATCCACGTGGGTCCGACTCAGCTTCAGGCTGTGGATGGCTGTATGGGAGGGCAGGGAGAGAGGAGTGAGAGAATGAATGGACAGAGCCAAAAAGACGAGGGCATTGGCAGATGGTGTGGGGAAATAGAGCAAAGAAAAAGGGGCAGAGAACCAGGGAAAGAGGGGAAGGGGAGAAAGGTTCACTGACACAAAAGTGTGATTACACACTTCGGAGCAAGAGCAGAGGGAGAGAGATTTAAGAAACTGTCAGAATTACACCCAGTTGTGATAAATGCAGCACAAAAACGCTAAAACTAGCATCAATCTATTCACACAGCTCAATCAAACTCACTCTGGAGCATTGATCTGCAGTTGGAAAGAAAACACGTCAAACTATCTCACCGTGATTGCATAGTTCAGCTCTTGCTTGTCTGTCCTGCTCACATGTAATCAGTCTGACATTTTATCAGCTCATTTACAAATTCAGTTCAAATTTTCTCTATGTTGATGCTACACAGTGAAATGCAGTGACAAGAGCAAGTGAGAGCAGAGGTATGGCTATAGAGGAGAGGCTGTTTGCTACAGAAACTAGGAGTGATAAATGAAACTGGTTGACTTGAGGGATTTATTCATGTCTCTGCAGCGTGCCCTTTAAAATGTCCTGTGCAGTCAAGTTCATGTGGATAAAATAGGCGGAAGACTTTGGCACAGGTCCAGTGCACAGTCATGGCTCCTTATACTGGTCTGAACCAATCTGGGGATTAAGCCTGCCAAATATAAGGAACTTGGTGCAATAAAATGTTCCAAATGACCTTTTTCGCAATCTTACAATCTGGGCCGATATAGTCACATAAACAGTCCAAAATGAAATGCTACAAGACGTGTTATTAATGTATTACCTTGGATGTTGAGAAAGCACACTGAAAACCTAATACTAATACTCAAAAAAGGGAGGAGTAATCTTGGTAATGCCCTATCTATGTCTACAGGGAAATATAAGGTAGACATGGGTTATTTCCACCAAGTCTCATGTGTGTCACGTGGTGGACCTAAGCTGGGTCTCTGCTGCAGGCAGGCTCATTTCTACATCCAACCAGCATGATTGCATCGTTGGGTAATGTGAGGACAAGCAGTTTTAACACTTCCGTTAACATACTGTATCAAGGAACAGAAGTGTTGGAGTGAAGGGAATAAGCTAAATTTGTAATCACAAAGGGGAGGACATTATTTTTTTTAATCCAGATAAAACAATAAAGCTCATGTTCTGTAGAATGGGACGTAGCGACTTGGTTGTTAACAGTTTCTTCTGTCACATGTTTCCATTTATGTCGGCAGATATTGAAATTAACCCACTCCCAGGCAAAGCAATCCTATGCTTACAACTACCACCACATAGAAAATCACTAACCCACTATAAGACAGCAGCAGCATAAGGAAACAACCAACAGCTCCAAGAAGAGAAACGTTCACTCGCTATGTTGGCTTCAACTCAATCAGTTTAAAGTGGCCTCCTTTCCTCATCGAGTTTATTAACTTACTAGTGAGGACAAAGGAGAAGAGAATGGTGGTAGGTGTCACAAGACCTACACACTGTCTCCATAGGGAGGAGGGTGAAGCCACTTCAGATTGTTGAGCTTAACTTGTTGCAAATAGCACTGTAAAACAGGAGTTGTTTTTGTCCAGCTAGAACACAGAATTGCCTGAACTTTTCCAGTTACATTGCTTTTATGTAATAATAATTAAATGTGATTTTGTTTGAAAAACATAAAGTATGATGGTGTGATGCTTTTGGACACTTCCTGTTTTACAATGGAAGACGATGCATTGTGAAAGAAGGGGAGAGAATGGGGATCAAAGTGGACGGAGGAGCTGGCTGTCAACCTAGAGTATTAAAGAATCTACTGAGGGACTTCTGTAACACTGCAGAAATGAATTACTGTGGGGCACAGGAAGAAGAATAGGGTTGAAAGGTAAGAGATCAGGGACAATAATATGAACAGTAAAGTGAGGGGGTACTGGTTATACTGTTGAGATACATGGGAAACAAGGAAATTGGGTGCTGGATTTGGGAAACACAAGGATACTGGACTTGAACTATTAAGTTGTAAGAGTGGTGAGGTAGCAGTCACTCTAGAACCTTTTCTTGGCTATAGCTAAATAAAATACTTTAATAAGGTTTTGCATGTCTTGTACAAACAGAACACTGGTGTAATGTTACGTATCGTACTGTACCCTATTCAGGACACAGTGTGTTGTTTGGAGTGGTTGTCAATTACAAAACACAGACTACTAATTATTTTCTTTTTTTTTTTTCAGTTTAGTGCCAAACCAACGACCTATACAAGTCTCATGTTATTCATGTAAATGCACTTTAAGTACAGTTTTTGAGTCTTTGAGCGCCAACTTTTTGCCAGAAACTAAAATATTCACACCAAAGTTAGCTGTAGCTCGTCTTGCGGCTTAAAAGGTGCTTCTGGATGGTGTAGGTAGGACACCAATTATTAAAAGTTAAATCTGATAGAAATCAATTTGGGTAAAAGCTAGCGCTAGTAGGGACTTCTGCTGTAAAAGTCTTGTGAATAAGTGGTCCTTTGGACTGATGATTCAAACCCAAAACTTGTAGTTTATTGATGTAATATACAAAAAATAAATTCTACATCATGTTTTGTAATAATGTATGTTAGGCAGGACAATAATTAGTCTCTCTAGTTATCAGGAAATCTCTCTGTTGAGCAGTTTTTACAATGAGGGTCAATAAACTCAGATCTAGGACAGTGTTTGACCACTCGACAACTGGTTAGGGGGCCGTAGTAAACAGCCACAATGCTCCTCTGTTCAGCTCATCACTTATGCCTGGCTCTCAACAGAGAGCTTTGTTCATTGCTCTCAGAGCGAGAGCTGGAGTTGGTGGTTCATTAATGATGGTCATACTGCCACAAGGAATGAGAGGCAGAAAGAGATGAGAGAGAAAGTGGGAGTCGAGGCTGGAGGGAAAAAGGGTAAAACAAAGGGTGGGTTTTTGAGGACTAACTTATTTATCCTCTGGTTTAAGGGGTCTTTCCGCAGAGTTTTTTGGCTCACTATCTCAGCAAGAAGATAAGAGACACAAAATGCTTCCTCAAAAAGCAATGATAGCAGTTCTACCAAACTCTGGGTCACAGCACAAAGGGGGAAGTTCTAGAAACTAGGCCCAGTTAAGGCTGCAATGGAGAACTGGGAGAGCAGCATAGATCCATTTTAATACAACCATTTCAAACAGAGCCTAGCCCTAAACAGAAGATTGAACAGGTGTTCACCACAACAAAGAGGATGATCTAGTTCCATAAGGACCTAGGATCTACTAGGAGAGAGGGTTCAAGCTAGCAGATCTAATACAGCAGAGGTAAAGAAAAAAAAAAGGAACTTGGCATTTTACAGTACCTTGGCAGCGTTTGCGCTTGTGACATGTAGTTTTAGCACTCGTCTGATATCCACTCCATTTGAACAGAAAAGGGAGGTAGAAAGGGGGCAGGTGGGAGAGAACTAACAACCAAGAGAGAATGAGTAATTACCATTACCCTTGAGTCAATCACAGAGACTACCGCTGTCATCATTCTTGAACAAGGCAATCTATCAAGCAGTGCTGCTATCAGGTTCAAGGCCCGGGACACAGTTCTTGTAATGGTTACTGACAGAAACTGAAAGCCTGGATCATGAATATATCCCCAAACAATGACTTGGTAGTAGTTTGGGAAACAGAGGAGCCTACAGCTGAAGTTGCAGCGCTGCTTCACATTTGCCTAAGATGACTGAGATAATATCTGTTTTACAAAGTTTACCCTTATTTCTTTAAAATCCTGAAGATTTGTGTAAACTTAGCAGAATGGTGAGAAAAATATCATGATTGTGAAATGCTTAAATATAGTTGAAAGTTGAAATTGTCCTTACTTGAGTCATGTATTGTGTACACATGACTGAAATAAAGTAGCAATAATACGGTATACTGTAGAAGGTGGCACAAGACTGCAAACCTGTTAACATTTCAAAACTTATTGCAAAAAAAGGACAAATAACACAAAACCTCACAGATACCTGACAGCAGTAAGGAGTTCTTATGTTTCAATTTCAGTTAAAAAGTAATTTATATTATTCAGTGATTCCCACAGAATGATGCGATAGGAACTTTGACAATGTGAACACGTAACAAACACACACCGTCCATTCTTCAGTCTGTGGAGTGAACACAGCGCTCTGTATCAGAGTTTGTTTAAGTTTGCAGCTACAGACTTCAGCAGGCTGTTACATTAGGTTATGAACGTGAGGTTTTTTGATTGGTGTTATACGCAGACACCAGCTGATACCTGCGTGAAAAACCCCAGGCACATTGAAGCAGCGTTGGAAACAAAGTAACCTGAAATATCAACACTTTACAACCAGTTTCTGTGTTAAAGTCTGGGAATTATTATTCTAAATACATTTAAAAAGGCTGAATAGTCCTCATATTTGTACAGCGACTCTCTATGGTGCATACATGAACTACTTAGGATTTAAGTGGCAGTACATTTATTTTAAACCGGGATGATATATTTTCCATCGATCAACAGATTAGTTACCACTGAAATAATCATACAGTATTTATCTGGACTACACCTCTGATATGATACTGGCGGTTAATTCCTTGTGATGTATGGGTTCAGTTCAGCAGCCATAAACAAATTGCATTATTGTGTTGAAATAAATGATTGGTACGGTAGTCCAAAATTGTCAAACAATACGTGTGCTATGCTGTTATAAACCCTTAAAACCACTTATGAGCAGAGAGTAAAAATAATGTTTTTGAATACATCATTATTGGTGATTAATTATTTTACTGAATAGGTACAATCATATGTCAAAACATATTTAAAATTATATACTAGTTTAAAATAAAAGTAAATCTGCTTTATATTGATGTCTTGAGCAGGCGTTTTAAAAAGTCCATCTTTGCATTTGTTTATCAAATCAGCAGACGTCACAAGACTCACATCTGACTAAATCATTCATCCTGTGAAGACACAGACATCAGACTTGCAAATGTCAGCAGAGTGTCCTTCAGCAGGGGTGAAAGGCTGAGCAGGACGACAAATAGGAGAGAGCTGCTGAGTGCACAGGAAGTTTGTTTGCTTTAAAAGCTATTAGTAAAGTCCATTTGGGCATTAGAGCACTGATGGAGCCATCCATAAATAGGAATTCCCTTATGACTAGAATCTCTACTATGCACACAATCCTCATAAGGGTGTACAGTACCTAGAGTCAATTCAATTGTGTGGAAGTTTGAAGTGAGAGGGCATACTCTCAGTTTAGTTCAACACTAAATGATTTTGAGTCATCCAAGGCACCATTGGAACTTTTTTGAAATCAGGAGAAAGAATTGTAGCTACTGTTGTCACTGTGAGCCATATCCTTAGGAAATATAATCATTTATAAGTAAATGACAATCCCAAATGATGATCATTTCAACCATATCTGTTCTATTTAGCACAGATGACAAAAACATTTAACAGACTTCTGGCAAGAAATAAACATGTTTTTAAAACCCTGAGAGCCAGTCATTAGATGACAAATGTCCAATTCTCTTGAAGCATTTCTCATTAATCATTCAGTGTGTTCCCAGCCTCATCTAGTGGTTTGAATAAATACTCAGCTCAAAGTGTAGTGAACACAAACAAACATGTGGGCCTTGCCTACCTAAAAAATATCAAAGTGTTATGCTGACAGATGACCCTGTGGCCCAGCCCGCTGGATTTATTTTTCCTTGACGTCTTAGAAGCCAGACAGACTGGGACACACCCTACAGTTTCTTGCAACCATAGACTCACTGCACTACACCCATACACACACAACTCAGGGAAGCTTAAAGTGAATGGACAGATCGTCTCCTGATACATTTTTTAAATTCCTTTTGTTTTAGTAATAACAATTTATAAGTTAATCAAATTTTGTTTTGATTTTCTTGATTAAAAAAATCAAAACAATAAAGAGACAGAATTCATTAAATCAATGAACTCAAATGTTCTAGTGGGTGTGTATTTTCATCCTCAATAACTGAATTAACGCCATGAGTACCCATGCCCATGAGACTGCCTAAAATAACAATACGTGTCAACAGTCAACATTGAACAAATGGCAGCACGCTCTCTTTACAGTTAAGGGTTAAACAGAAAAAAACTACAAAAATGTATAAGTTATAATGCAAGAAGTAACTTAAGACTTTTATAATCGTATACACCTTAAATCAAACTATGCAGTGCTTTTTTTAAGTTCACCAAAGCCATCAAATGACTTCTTAATAAATCTGAGATTGTGAAAGAACTACCGTGAAAACAACTGCTGTTGTTCATTACTTCAGCACTTAAACTGGCTAATCCTCTGTATCAATAAGCCATTTACTGTTTGCCCTCCCTCCTTTACGTTTAATAAGGAATTAGCAGAAAAGTACATTCGTATCACGAGAGATCAGAACATTCATGTCCTTTTTGAACGCAGCAGTAGTCCTGCCCACATGCAGTTTCATGCCTGCATAGCACCCGGTATGCCTACCATATGACTTCTGCTTTGCTAACCTTTAGTCTCAGATACAAGGAGAAAAGAGGATGAGAGTGGAGATAGGGAAGAGGATAGATAGCAGGAGAAATGTATGTACTGCAGTAATGTCAGAGCATGGCTCGCTGGCTTTATGGTCCATTAATCAAACGTAATGCAGCCTTCTTATGGCTCCAATTGCTTCAGATTATTAGATCCTTGATAAAACAGTCTACTGTAAAGGCTCTCTGAAACTGAAACAAAACAAACAGCATGGTGTGAATTAGCAGGCTATATCCCTTGCTTTGACGCGCTGCTAAATATAGGAGTGGGAGACAATGTGCCAACAAAAGGCAGCAGGAGGGTTTCAAACACATGCTCACTGTTTCAATGTCAATGCATTGAAGAGGTAATAAAAACGTCGCAAAAAAGTAAAAATGTAGCAAGCGTGTACTTTTAATAACACATACTGTCCAAGGAAATATGAATTTTACTGCACTATTCTGCCTTGCGTTAATATAGCTCGCTGAATGGACAAGCTAAGGTCACATGATCTATGTGCTGTGCAGAGCTGGGGGCCTCCAAGTGTCACACAACCAATTTGTTTGCCCTTGGCTTGCTTTATATTTCACACATACTGTATGGCTTTCATTTAATCTTGTCTATGATCTTCTGTCCTCTGTGAATGTTTATATGCCTGCCTCCATATACAGATGCCTGTTTCCATATACAGATTTTTTTAGTGACCATGTTTACATGTAAATGAATGCATACAGACCAGCAGTGACCTTCCCGTTTTGTCCTAAAAGCTTCTCTGATTCACTTTGGGGAAGTGCTGGAAGCTACGAGAACATGACATAAAGGCCAACCTACTGTAATCACTTTCCTCTGCTCTGTACGTGTCTTTATTTGGCTTAATAAATCCTGAAAAGGGGAAGGGGGTGACTTGTGACGTTCCAGCAACATAGTAGTGAAACAGACACAAGGCAGGATTGACACTTTGTGCGATTATTAGTAATTTAGCACAGATTATATAGTCATTAGGTCTGGATTCGGTTTAGTATGTTTTTGCTGCATGATTTAGTCTGTCTTGCATATTTGCTCTGTTTTTATAATTAATGCTTAACACATTTCACACTATTTTAAGAAGTGGTCTGTATCTTTTTTCTCTCTGCTTCTTTCTATTTATCTGCCACTTTCAAACACCCACCCACACACATTCATCAGCAGTGAAGGTCCTGTAGATTCTGACTGCCTTAAGGAGACTGCTGAATCAAAGGACCTCTTTCTCACTGCCTGTCACAACTAAAGCCTGCTACATTTTGCCCGAGCCAGCTCTCCGGGAGAGAGTTTGTGCCAGAATGTACGAGCTGCACCTGCTTTACATTGGGAGCATGACATGACAAAACCTACACGCACATGAATAGAGACACCTGCTCCATTCATTTCTCTCAACTGAGGATTGATACCAGAGCAGGCAGGGCTGTCACATCATGCTCCGTTTTTGACTCACCATGCTGTTGTTCTGGCGTTATTGTGAAGACCATTACTTTACTTTTTAATAGAATGTATCTCTTATGACACCCAAGGGAGCACTTCATCTCCTCATGGCTCCAATACAGCACAAAAAGAGTAATCTTTTGCAACATGCTGCCTAACTGGAATAAAAAGACTGCATGCTGGGTGAATTCAGAAGCATAAAAGTATATAATATAATGATTTGACTTTCTGTTTTAACCCTAAAGTATACTATGACTCCATGACAACATACTGTACACCATCAAATGTTGTTAAGAGTGACATTGTAAATATGTTTATGGAGTAGTCATCGTTTTGTTGACTACAAGATCTTATACAGTTTTTAGCTTTCTAGATTTAAGGCTTTCAGCAATTCATGAACCATATTCACACAGCTGATTGTTTGACATCAAGCTCAAGCTAGGAAGCTCAGATGTTATACAAAATGTCATTCTGTTGTGTTCAAGGTTGTTATTTGTTAAATGAAGGAATTTGGAAATGATTTCACCACTTCCCGATTGCAAGTTAGCAAGTTAAAAGAGCATTTAAGGGAGATTTCAGAGGGACACCAGGCTGGAAAGGTAAAAAGACATATTTGATAACCCGTTGGTCAGAAGTGGAGGAATGATAATGTTAGATTCAGTACATTTAAACATTACATTACAAAATAACTGCATTTGATTTACCAAGCCTGCCCATGAAGTCAGGGTTTAATGTCTGCCCTGTAAATACAGTGATTTCTGAAATTCCCACCACCTGTCTCTCACCATCTTTGCTATCGACAGTCTTCACCACCAAATCCGTCTCGAAGGTGTCCTGCACTTGTTGCCCACGGAAATGGTTCAGGTGCTCCTGCTCGATGAGGTCACTTTCCTCTTCCTCCAAAGGGAGCCAGGTACCGTCAATGAACCACTGACCTCTCATGACTGGAATGTGGTCTTGTTCTGAAAGACAGTCCAAAACAGAATGGATTTAGATACAAAAGAATGGCTAAGATATGGGGATGGACATTATGGGGCGGGGAGACTGAACTTAAAGTGATATGAATCTAGGTTTTGGTGTATTTCTAATGTCACTTTAAGTAAAAATCCATCACAATAACAGTACTACAACACTCACTTTCTACAAACCAAGTGCTTTGCCTTTGACATTAAATAATTTCCATTCAACTCAACAAGTCTGCCAAATCCAGGAGGGCCAGGTCTCAGTGGCTTATGGAATGAGGCCAGTTTTGATTACAGTCTTGCTCTACATTATTAACAGAGTTCTCTTGGTGAATAAGTATGTACAAGCAGTTCTGAATGTTGGCCGACTCTTTAGAAGTCAGGCCCCTTCCTGTACAGAGTAAGACTGATCATCTGTAAAAATAAAAACACAAGAGCAAACTTGTGTTTACAGATAAAGAGGCCCACCACAACGCTACAGCTTGTGTGTCTAAAGATAGACACACAAGAAGAGCTCACTGGTGGAGGCAGTAGATATACTATTCACTCATTTGAAAAGGTGGTTCATGTCTGGTCAGAGAAGATAAACCTGTATGCTTCAAATAAATAGCACATTGTTCCCATTAAAGTAAAAGTGACCATTTCACCTTTCTGTTAAATCTTAATGTTAGAAGATAAAGCTAAAACAGCGTCTTTATACAGAATAAAAACATAACACCCCCATCCCCAATAAGGCATTTACACCAGGCTGAAAAGGCACAGGCAAGGGCTGAGTGGACTACAAAGGACCTACATCTACAGCATGATGAACATTCAGTAAAATAACTGCTTGTCTACGTGTCCCTTCGCATTAACGTTAAAAAAACCCAGCTACCCATGAACCCTTTCATCGTTGTCAGGTTTGAGCGAGCCTTCTCTAGTGACCATCTTCATTTGTTCTCTAGCTTTTTCCGGGAATATTTCAATGAACTAAAAAAAAAAAGAGCAAAACAATGCAGGACTCCGGAGTGTCAGCTAGAAATAAATAAACAGTTGCTTGTTTGTATAATTTATGGGACACGAGATGGATGCTGGAATTGACTTGTGAGTGGCTTGAGGTCTTTAATCTTGAGTGCTGTCAGCAATGATACAGCAGAACAGAAAGTGGGAAAGTGAGAAAGTATGAATGATGAATGAATACTTTTCAAACCATTATGATTCTTCTTACAAACAGTAGTGCTCGTATGTTTGACGACAGGTGATAAATGCAATAAAAATGGCATTTTACGCTTCTGTTTGCATAAAAAAGTTAACTTATTTTATGCATGTTGGAGCTGTTTTCTTTACACACTGTGGCAGCAATACAAACGAAGTATATGCACCCAACAGGAATTTGTGCCTAAAACATTAGTTTGATGATACATGCCACAAGGACCTACATGTGTAAGTGGTGTAGTGCAGGGGGGGGGAACTTATTTCACACTCGTTAATCATATGTTTACAATACTCACGTTTCCAGTACACAGGTTGCATTACATCATTATGATTCTTTTTACAAACAGTAGTGCTCGTATGTTTGATGACAGGTGATAAATGCAATAAAAATTACATTTTTCTCTTCTGTTTGCATAAAAAATGTTAACTCATTATGCATGTTGGAGCCGTTTTCTGTATACACTGTGGCAGCAATACAAACGTCTTTATTACAAGTATGAAGTACATGCACCCAACAGGAATTACATGCCACAAGGACCTACATGTGCAAGTGGTGTAGTGCAGGGGGGGGGGGGGGGGGGGAACTTATTTCACACTCTTTAATCATATGTTTACAATACTCACGTTTCCAGTACACAGGGTTGCATTCCTTTTCTTTAATGTCCACCTCATACAGCCCTCCCCGGACACAAACAGGCTCAACGTTGATTTCAATGCAGTCAGGGTCCCTCTCCTCTGAGGACACGGTGGATGTGTCCAGGGACCCCCGACCTCCGTGCACACTGCTGGTCCTGGTTTCCACGGGCACTGCTCCACCGTTCAGCCCCCTGCTCTCCACGCCGTTATTACCGCACTCTTCCGCTCCGACGCCGTCCTGGGAGCCCGCAGCACCGGGGGGGTTCAGCTCACAGTATTTCCGAAACACACGCTCGATTTTCAGCGAGTCGTGTCCCACAAAGGCTTTCCACGTTTTCTTGTCCTCCTTGTAAAACCAGCGCACCTCCTCCGGACCCAGCTCCGTCACCACCTCGTTGAAGCGGTGCCTGGAGCTGTTGGACCGCGACCTCTTCCTCCTCTCGAACAACGGACCCGCGTTGTTCCCGTCGCTGTCGCTGTACTCCAGCGAGCTGCTGTCGAGGTAGGCAGTCGGGGAGCTCAGGTCCAGCATCAGCCCGTCCTGGGCGCCGCGGTGTCTGGCGTGCAGGAGAGGCAGGTGTCCGTCCAGTCCCGACTGCACGGAGGACATCCCCGCCTGCATCGCGTCGTCCATCGGACTCATCTCGTGACAGCACGCAAACACATCACCACCGTAATCCCACTCCTTGTTGTTGTTGGTGATGTCGACGCTGACGGGTGAAACTGCACCGTCGATGCCCAGTGACGATTTCAACGATGAGGTTTTGGCTGAAATATTAAAACTGGTCATAACTACACAAACCAACCTCACTACTTCCTCCTGTGTCGCTCCACAACAACAACAAAAAAAAACCCACCCCTCACTACTTAGTAACAGCTATCAAACATATAACACACGACATGGGTCGAATACAAATATAAACAATATTGAAGACCTTCAGACAAACTTCCAACGCATTTCCTTCAGTGATCCGCAGCTACATTAGCTTGCTAGCTAAGCCACTGAAGCCGGTTTGAGAACTAGCCGACTAGCAACACACTGCACCGTTCAAACTGGAAAACCTATTTCCCCCCCCCTAGCTTTCCTCATTCTCACTTAACTGACATAAACCTGCGTCGAACCACCTTCTCGATACTGAGTAGTCCAGCTCGATGAGAGTGCTAGTGCAGTCACCATACTTTGAGTGTTCCGGTCTCTGTGGTATTTCCGAGTCATTCGTTGCCCGGGTCCAAACAAAAATCTTTGCTTAGAGACAGCACCGCACCGTCCGCGGGTGCGTGTGCGTGCGTGTGCGTGTGACTTGACAACTGACGCATAAATCACAGGATTCATCGTGAACGCGCACGTAGAAATTGCGCGAACATGACGACAGTTTTTTTTCCCCCTCTGTCCGTCACATTCATGAAAAGGAGTCTTCTTGTCGTCCACTAGATGGGGACAAATAGCAACCGATGGTTTTTGGCTTTAAGACAGGGGTGTCCAAAAGTGCGGCCCGAGGGCCATTTGTGGGCCCTTGAGGGGATTTTTTGTGACTTCAAATGAAGAACAGAAGATTTTGGCCCGAGGCCTTGATTAAGATCGGCACATTATCTTATTTTTCATGTTAACAAGGGCTGAACAATATTCCTAAAATAGAAAATGTTGTTTTTTTTTTTTTTTTTTTTTAAATCTACAGCTTTGACTATTTTTCAAATTTTTTTGTAAACTATGAAAAAAAAACGTATGCAAAGTTTTTGCAAACAAGCGGACTGTTGTTTAACCATTTAATGACCTGAGCTTTTCCAAAAAAAAAAAAAATGAACCATGTTACAGGCTTGATTCTGAGAAAAAAAACAAATAAAGTAGAACGAAGAAATCAAAATATTTGATTTATCTTTTATTAAAGGGTTTCTTTAGCGAGCCTTTTGATTCTGATCTACAAAGCTTTACGATTTTTTCAACTATATTTAAAAAAAAAAACCTGTGGCCCACGAGCGATTCTAACCTCTACCACCCCCTTTTATTATGACAACTTGTACTTTTTTTCTTTCTAATTTAACTTCATTTAACTTCACTTTATGTGCCTTTTGGTAGTGTTCTTCATTTTTTTTTAAAGAGATATATGCAAACAATTGAAATGCATTCTGAAGTGGTAACTGTCTTGAATGATAACTGTTTTGAAACAGACCCCATATATTTAGCTTAGGTATGTATCTGTATGTATGCATGTGCATGTAGGTATGAGGGTATGTATGTGCTTGTGATATGTATGTATGCTGCATGTAGCCTATATATGTATGTGCATATATATATATATATTTGTGTGTGTGTATTATGTGTATGTACGTGTATGCACATGTATATGTGTATATATATGAATGTATGTGCATATGTATAGATACATTTTTTATTTCTTGCTTTTACGCATTGCCTGTAAAGCACTTTGGTCAGAAGAAGCTGTTTAAAATGTGCTGTACAAACAAACTTGATTTAATTTGTTTATGGCCATTTAAATAAAGTGAAAGAAACACTTTTTTTAAAGGCCTAAGTTTATTTTCTACTGTCGTATTTTGGTTGTAATAAACTATGTTTTTGTTCTCTGTACTTTGAATTCTCATTCTTCCTCTCTTAACATGAAACTTTAATTGTTCTTATTCCTATGTGAAACTGGTAAGGTACAGTCTAGACCGCTTTAATATAAAGTGATATGAGAAAGGCTGATTTACAAAAACTTAATCTATAACCTTGGACTCTTGAAACCTACATCAGGTGAACATTCAGCTAGAGACCTGAGACCCAATGGCAGCTTCAGGAAAAAAAGGTGGGGGGAAGGTTTAGCTATTTTGAAGATTAAAACTTGATAAACAAGACTGTTTGGTGAGAACACACTTTCATTAACTGCAGTGAGTCAAACACTTTTCTAAATATTTTTTTCCACATTGGATTTACGGTAACAAACTGGCATGGTTACAATGACTCATTTGTTAACTCTCAACCTTCATTGTAATACATAAGGGAAAGTTGTGGGTTTGTGACAGCCTTTTATTATGTTAATTTAGTGTTACCCTGCATATGTGAGCTGTTTTAAGAAATATAAAGGTGTACGTGGGAGAACTTTAAAATGTTTTGAGTGCTCAAGTTGCAGTATCTTGACCTGTCACGAGAGGGCAGCAGTAGTCAACTTATTTAAAAAAAGAAATCCAAAGTCACAGCTGGCCTTCTTTTGCAGGAATTCAAAGAGTTCACCTTCTAAATCGCGGTTAAAAGGGAAACAAAACAACTGAAACAGACCAAAAACATCTCTCAAAACTTTATTAAAAGCTGACCAAACACCAGTCTGAGACAGTCTCAAAACAAATGCCTACTCATAGACTTTTTCACCAATAATATTTTTACATAGTTGATGTATGATTTATAGAGATTTACAATTTTAGATACTGATTTTTCCTATAATTGAAAACAAAATACTCCAAGTACCTCAAAACTACTTGCATTCCAGTTAGAGGTCAGCATACAATTCAGTTGTGTCACCGAACTCCAGAATCTATTTGGGATCCATCAATGTGTTTACAGCTTCGTGTGTGAGTGCAGGAGTCTAGTGTGAGTTTCTGTTTGTATCTTTGTGTTTATGAATGCATGTGCTGGTATGTTTGTTTATGCAAGTGCATGTGTTTGAATAATGCATGTTTTGTGTAGCCCCATTTGTGTGTGTGTGTGTGTGTGTGTGTGTGTGTGTGTGTGTGTGTGTGTGTGTGTGTGTGTGTGTGTGTGTGTGTGTGTGTGTGTGTGTGAACTGCTGTGTCCAGGTGATCCTGGGGTTCCTGGTGTGGTCTGTGGGGAGAGAAGGAGAGGGATAGCAGAGAGGCCCAGGCAGCTGTATTTGGGATAAACAGACATTACCCTGCTGTGTTCTAATTTACTGCAGAGTGGGAATTAAACTTTAAACTCGTCCCGCCCCTCTGCAGTCCAAAACTCCATGCTTCTTGCCATCAACAACCACTTGCACAATGTGCTTTATTAAAGTGTTACTCCACCCAAAATCAGTCTTTTTAGTATCAAATTTGCACCCCCTGCAGGCTTTAAAAGTGGTTGTAAAAAATGTTGGCTTTCAAAAGAAGGACATGTCTTCCCCAGGAATCTTTGGATTTTGAGGGCAATAGTGCAATGTGTTAGCAGTAAATAATGCTCTACTTTTGAAAACCAGTGAGTGTATGGAACATAGTGGCTTTATACACGGACAGACAATAAGCGGATAGTTCTGCATTCCTTATGGATGCTTCCCTTTATGTTTTGCACACCATAAAACTTGTCACATTTGGAAACCTTTGTCCTGGATTAAATTAAAAGCTCTGCAAAACAAAGAAACATTTAACCAGTACCTTTCTGACCCATGGGGAGTGAGTGTTTCTTATAAAAAAAGTCTAATCAAAAGCAGTGCCTGCAAACTTAAGATTGTATTTCATCATTGTAAGAGTAGAACAGAACAGTCTGAGGCCCAAAACTAGGAATAACAACATGTTGGATCTAATTAATTTGTTACTACTAGTTATATGTTGCTTGTGGAGAAAGTTACGCATCCCAAACAATTCAACATGCATGTTGTAATATTAGTATTTGCCAGGTGATTGTCATTAAAATGATTTATTGTTTTGCCAATATGAGTCCAAGACTAATTCACATTGATGTAATTTCTAATTTGTGAGAGCAGCACAATGACTGGGTTAAATATGCAGTGAAATCCTGCCAGGAACTTTCGCTCATTGCAGGTTTACACTTGAGGATGACATGTGGCTTTCATATATGAATTAGTCAAATTCCTCTTTTTCTGGCAGTCAGAGCTCGGACAGGTTGGCCTCTTTCTCCCTCTCTCTCCTCTGATGTTTTGCAACCACCAGGCCCACCACCTGGATGAGTGGATGACAAACAAACTGCAAATTTTCCTTCCAGTAACTGACCAAATAGATATTTATAACCAGCTGGTCACCCCCCCACCCCCACCCCCACCCACCCCAACCCTTCCACCCACTATGCCCCCCCCCTCTCCCCTCCCAAAGCCATGGCTGTGAGAGCTCCCTTTAAAGACCAGTTGTGTCACTTCTGGCTTTGTTCTTAAACAAAGAGAACTGCCCCTCATCTGCCCGTAATTGGGCCGACCCTTGGAATGTGCTTGATGTCTCCGCGCGGGCCATTGCCGCTCCAACAGACAGGCGAGGATTGCTTGGACATGGGAGATGAATTAGTGGAGGTCCATCCAGACATCTCCACTCTTGTGTTTTTTTTCCATTCTGTTTTTTTTAATTTTTTTTATGTATTTTCATTTTTCTTCCTTTGATTCCATTTTTCTTTTTACCTGTAATTCCTCCCGTCTTGGCCACCGATTTTCTCAGGATGTAGTATTTCACCATTGAAAAAATAAATAAATCCCACTCTGTAAGTGAAACAAGCTGCAGATTGACTTCACCAGGTCTGCTTGGTTTCTGCGAGCTGCACCACCTCGCTAAGGTGGGGTAGTTGGACGCACTACAAGGCCAATCTGCGGCACATGTCACTAGCACTTACTGAGGTGACGTTGACCATAGGCAGATGGTTTAGAGGGGATTGGAGGGTGTTTACTGCATTGTTACCAAAGGGAAGCAATTTAGTGAGTTCAAATTCCACTTGCAAGGAAGGAAAAAATGTTGAAACAGTAGTTGGCTGGCGACCAAAAAGCCTGAGCCCCTAATTGTTTTCATTAATAGCAAATAATCTCAAAGTGCTTACTCTGTATTCTGGGAAACATTATGGGGTTATGTTCAAGACGTGTACATCTGGCAAACCTCCGAGGATTAGTTTAGAAATTTGTCTGCAGCAATCACATGAACCCCATCAGGTGAAAAGGTTTAGACTTCTGCGCTCCAACCACAGATATGTAAGTGTCTTTGTAGAGGTGTTGTGTTCCTTTTGGTGTTTAAGCAACCTTGTCCCCCAGACTCCAACCCTTTGGTTTTGGTCATGACTCATTTACTCCTGAATCCTTCACCTTTCACCCCGAGCTCCACTCTCCATGTCACTCGCTAGCTACCCTGGATAAGTAAATACATGATGTAATGTTTGGTTTTTGCCTCAGCCTCCACCCACATCCAGGGGTGATTAAACTGGAGCACACCAGTTTTAGGTGGAGATAGATTGGGTGTGGTCAAAGGGTGCGGAATAGGAGAAGTTGGGGATTTAACAAGGCTGGTTTGGGGCAAATATAATGGAGGGGGGTTGCAAAAGCAGGACACCAATAGGGTGGGGCCAAAGCCATCACAGAC